AGGTCTGGGTTTTCTTGCTAGCTCGGTTGAGTGTGTGGTTAGGACTTCAAACTAGGATTAGTTAGAGGTATGGGTTTAGAAATGGAGAATAATGAGTTTGGATATATGGATATAGACTCATTAGAGAGCATACAAAGAAGAATGACTAAAATGATTTACTATATAAGGAATCTCCCATATGAAGATAGACTTAGAGCCTTGAATCTCCACTCTCTGGAGAGACATAGAATGAGGGGAGATATCATCAAGGTGTATTAGTGGATGATGGGTATAAACAAAGGTGATATTAATAATGTACTGAGGGTGTTGAACCAGGAAAGAACCAGAAATAATGGATTTAAGTTGGATAAATTTAGATTTAAAAAGGACATAGATAAGTACTGGTTTTCGAACAGAGTAGTGGATGTGTGGAATGGTCTTCCGAGTAGGGTAATCGAGGCTAGGACTTTCGGTAGCTTTAAAAAGAGATTGGACATGTATATGAGTGGGAGGGACTGGGTTTGATTGGTGTCATGGGTATGGGAGTTAATTCTTGGGTAGTTTTGGGTAGGGGTGGTTTTGATAAGGACCTGCCTTGTATGGGCCAGTAGGCTTTCTGCAGTGTTCCTCCATTCTTATGTTCTTGTCAAGGAAATGTGTGCTAAATGGCATGAAGTGCAGGAGTTTGCAGAAAAATATCATCCAGACAAAGCAGTAGCCATCCGTCTCTCTAACGTGTACAGTGACAGTGTAATGTCTCAATTTAGATAAGTGTTAAAACAGAACCTGAAACAAACCTCACAGGACGGGTTTTTAGTGAGCCAGAACAAGGTGTTAGTGGTGAAAAGAGACAAAGAAGAGAAACAACACCAGGACAGTTGCCTGACACATTATTATGAAATGACTCTCCTTCCAAGCAGTAACATACCCCTTCCTCTCCTCCACCTCCTGCTTCCAGTATGCCATTAACTCTTCTCTGACAAGTAAGAGGCAGTTAAATTTTCATTTACTGTAGAATGTTTCAGTTAAGGTTTCTTTTTAGTAGTCATTTTTACAGTTTTATGTAGTAGTGAGTACTACATTTGAGATCTGGAATGAATTAATTCTACTTACATTATTTTTTTATGGGAAAAATTACTTTGGTTGCTGTCCATTTTGGTTGTTGAATCAACATCTGAAACGAATTAAATTGGATAACCAAGGTTCCACTGTGTTATTTTTTGATAGAATGTAAGATGTGCTGCTGAAATTGAAATGATTTTGGCAGGTATCAAGACTGGAAGCCACTTGAAATTAGGCTCAAAGCAGCAGAAATATGACTTTTTCTGCTTTTCTTGAGGTCGGGTAAGGGCATCCCTACACCCCTGGTCTGTTTTATGGATTTTTAATAAGTCTGATTCATTTATTGGATGCTGTAAACCATGTCCTATCCAGTTATATTTTATTATACAGAAAATAGAGTAAATCTTCTCTTTTTGTGTGATTATGAATTCCAAGCAGAAGGCAAATGCAATATAGCAGAGGCCTGGAGACATAATGAAGAGAGTAAATGTTGTTTTAGCACCAGAAATGTCTACATTGTCTATTTTGCACTCTATTTTTCAACTGGTATTTTTTAAATTTTGTGTAAAGTTGGCCAAATTACCAAGTTCTGTGTGTAGCTGTAATAATTGAATCGGTAGTTTCTTGTTCTCAGTCGATAGAATGAAAAGCTTACTAGTGAAATAGCAAAGAATTTGGTTGAATGGACTTAGTCAGCAAAATAACTGATGCATAAATTGTGCCCAGGCCACTAACTTTGCACCTGCATAATTCATAAGTTTTCTAAGAAAAATTTTTTTTAAGTGGACACTGGGAGCAATATTAACCTGTAAACGGTCCAAACATATATATGTATATGTTTTTACCGCTAGTGCCCCAAACGTATATATACGTTTTATTTTTCCTGCCTTCAAATTTAGCACAATTGGCCTGAGATGCCTTGTCAGCATAGAATGGGTCCTAACACTCAGTGTGTGCAGTATTAAAAAAATCTGGGACCACTTAGTACCTTGTGGGAGCACCAGTTTAAATGAGTGCCAGCTAGAGCAAACAGCACAGCAAACACCTGGGATTCACTGATGTCATATAGTATTAACACTCCCATTTTAAGAGGAAAGTGATTTTGACCCAGAGTTTAGTGGCTTTGAGGTGGATGTGGCCACAAGTGGTTGAGGAAATATAAAAAAACCTCGATAATAACCCATGTGTAATATTTGTGCAACACCCTTTCAGAATGTCTTATAACCTATGCCCTAAGTGAAGAGAAGCAATTCTGGCTGGTTGGCAGGCTGGCTGGCTGGCTACCTGGCTGGATGACTGACTGACTGACTGATTGGCTGGCTAGCTGGCTGGCCAGCTGTGTGGCTGGCCAGCTGCTGGCAGCCTGGCTCTATCTCTGTTTGTCTGTCTTTGTCTATATCTGTCTCTGTCTATCTCTTTCTATCTGTCTATCTCTGTCTTACAGGTACACACAAATACACATATACATAGTATAAATTACCTAGGATAACCCAAAAAATCCAGACAAAGTGCTATACTCTGCTTGAAGATGTGAGTGAAGGTGATGACGCATTCTTGTGGCTCTCTCTGAGACAGAGAGCTAGACGGATAGACAGATAGACAGGGGGCTTGACAGACAGACATGTTTGTGTACCAGCGAAAACAAAGGAGGGCGATATTCATCAAACGTCACATCTAATCTTTTCTTATCTGCTGCACCCTCCCCCACCCTCATGTATGCTCATCAAACATCAGCTCTTATCAGATGTTATCTCATCTTATCATGTCACTGTCAGGGGTGGACTTTGTTTTTCATGCTTCAAGGCAACTTATTATTTTATTATTATTACGTATTTTTCTCCTCCTCCTCATCATCCTCATCCTCCTCCTCCTCATCATCAATCATCAATCAATCATCATCAATCATAAATCATCATCAATCATAAATCATCATCAATCAATCATCAATCAATCATCAATCAGTCACCATCATCAGTCATCATCAGTCATCATCAATCATCATCAATCATCATCAATCATCATCAATCATCATCATCCATCATCATTCATCATCAATCATCATCATCAATCATAATCATCATCATCAATCATCATCATCAATCATCATCAATCATCATCATCAATCATCATCACATCATTTATCATCATCATCAATCATCATCAAACATCATCATCATCAATCATCATCATCAATCATCATCATCATCAATCATCATCATCAATCATCATCATCATCAATCATCATCATCATCATCATCATCATCATCATCATCATCATCATCATCATCATCATCATCATCATCATCATCATCATCATCATCATCATCATCATCATCATCATCATCATCATCATCATCATCATCATCATCATCATCATCATCATCATCATCATCTCCAAAACATTGCTGGGACATATAAATACTTTGTATATATTCCAAGACAATAGTAAATGGCCAAGGCAGGTGTAAATGTTCACCTGTCAGTGTGTTTGTGACAATGTGAGTACAATTTCAGTACCTAATACTAGTGTCAGAACAAAGATTGGTTAAGAAATGAAAAGAACTACTATAAATTGTAATTATCAGAACATGAAAATTATATAAAATAATATGAAAAATAGAAAAAAAAGTATATCGGCAACACTTTTGCAAGCGGCAGTGCTCCATGTTGCCATCAGGTGATCCCCAAGTGCCAACTTTGTGGCCTCATATCTCGGTAAGTACTGACTCTAAATTTTCTTTTTTTTTTTATCCTATAACATTTAGAAAAATGTGCTCTTTCTTTTCAATAAAAAAAATTATTTTTTATTTTTCAAAATATTCGGGGCACTGGGGTAGTTAACGTATATATACGGTTGGACCATTTACGGGTTAATTTTGGGGGTCTGAACAATGAAAGGGTGAAGTGAAATGAAATATTGTAGTGCAAAAAATATTTTTGGATTTTTTTTTTACCAAAAATTTACCTTGATTTTATATGTGTTTTAAAACAAAAGAAAATTAAATAGGGTTAAAGTTTACCAAGAAAACATTTTTTTTTTTTTAAACCCTTAAACTGTCCAAATGTAGATCTACATTCATACGCGTAGCACTCTGAGCGTAGATCTACATTCGATTTTACATTCTTTTTTGGAGCGCTATACGTATGAACGTAGACCTACGTTTGGACAGTTTAAGGGTTAAGTTTCTGGAAGCGATCCTCATATGTTAATGTGGTTGCATCCTGCACACTTGCAATTGCATACTGTTAGTGTTTTTGTCCATTTTTTCAATAATTTTTTTCAAAACATACATATACTGTATATATTTTTAGACCATATTTGTAGGCTGTTTAGTGTTCAGTAACTAATTATTTTCTATTTGAACAAAATTTTAACTGACAAATTGTTCACTCTCAGTACTTTTTTTTTTTTTACTTGTATATTATATGCATCATACACTGTACACTCACTATACACACATTATACACTTACTGTTCACTTTGCCAACTACAATTGCTTGAGTTCATGAAACTCAACAGAGCATTGTTCCATGCACAGTGGAGTTTAGCAAGTTTTACACATGAATTGTGTCCTTGATTTTCCTTGTTTTTTCATATGAATATCATAAATGCCTGTACTGTACTTAACAAAGACAAACATTTTTATCAAGTCTAATACAGAGTATTGTGAAATTTTTCTCTATATGACCCTTATGGGTTTGTTGCTTTCCATGAGTATAATAATTTCCATGGGGAAATGGAACAGAATTCTTCCTTCATAAGCCGTGTGTGTCGTAAGAGACAACTAAAATGCCGGGAGCAAGGGTCTAGTAACCCCTTCTCCTGTATACGTACTAAATTTAAAAAGAGAAACTTTCGTTTTTCTTTTTAGGTCACCCTGCCTTGGTGGAATATGGCCGGTTTGTTGAAAAAAACAAAAATTATTGATATTTTTGTTATCTGACTGTGGTATTTTCTAGGTCTTTATGGTGTGGAGGAAGTGAGGGCACAATGAGTGTGTTTTCTTTGAGAGATGATGGCTTAGTCTTGAGTCAGGATTCTGTATCTCACTTGACAACTTCAACCCCACCTACAGCCAATGATGCTTGTGATGTCTTGATCCTTCATGCACCACAAAATCTCACCACTGTCTCTCCACATCTTAGAAATTCCATCTGGTCATACGTTTATCCTGGTGAGTAAGAACTTACATTTGTTGGTAGAGAACAGCCAAGTACAGTGATCCCCTGTTGAAAACTATTCACATAACACAGTTTTCAAAACCAACCAAGAAAAACTCTAGGCCTGCTAAACTTTCTAATTTCTAATACAGCTTCTCCTCACTTAACGACGGAGTTCCGTTCCTAAGACCATGTCGGTAAATGAATTCGTCGCTAAGTGAAGAGCATACTATAATGGTAGTGGGTTTGTGTCAACCATCTTTGATATTGTTGTACTGTCAAATGTTTATACAGTAGTGTACTGTATATTGTAATAAACAGCATAAAGGAAATCAGCTGTAATATACATTATTTAGGTATGCATACTGGTCAGAGAGCCCATCATAAGTCCAAGTCGTCAGTAAACGAGTATGTCACTAAGTGAGGAGAGGCCGTACTTGTTTTGTTTTATGCACTTATTAAATGGAGTTATGACTCTTAATAAGCAATGGTCCCATCTCTGGTGAGCACATTTATTTTATTAATTTAATCATTGAAAAATTAATAGGAATTAGATACAGAATATTATCATAAGTTTTAGTATGGACTTTTATGCTTAACCCTTAAACTGTCCAAACAAATTTATGTTCACATGCGTAGTGCTCCAAAAGCAGATCTACGTTTTTTACATATTTTCAAATATAACAAAAAAAAGAGTAGATCAAAGTTTTTTTTACACGTTTTCAAATGTAAAAAAAAGAAAAGATCTACTTTTTTTACATACTTTCAAATATTGAAAAAAACATAGATCTATGTTTGGACAGTTTAAGGGTTAATGAACCATTCCTTCAGTCTTTGTCTAAAAGTATTAAGAACTGTTAAGAAGTCTGTAAAATAGAGAATTCTTCAGCAAATACTTGAAACATTTTGTGATGTTTATCACTTGCGAAAATTTAATTAAATGAATTTATGAGAAGCAGCATTTGGTAAGAGTACCTTTAGAGAAATAAAAAAATTAATTAAATATTGTATACTCATATGTCTGAAAAGAAAAGTTTTGGACTGTATTTATTTATATTAATGACCAGTGATGTGAGCAGTGGTAATTAAATTGATGAGTATAAAACAATTAAATGTTACTGTCACTTAAGTTTCAAGCTTAATGACAGTAACATTTAATAAAACTGCATCTTCAGGACCAAGACCAAGTTGGTCTCAGTCCTGAGGATGCAGTTTTAGTGAATATTTGATCAATTTTGTCACCAATATTGACAGTGTTTAATAAAAGTTTTTTCTCTATTAAACTGTGTTTGTACAGTAAACATGTATTATTACGTTAATGGTATATTTGGAACGAATGTTAGTTTCTGTTCTGCTGTATACAGAGGGCCCCACTTTACAGCACTTCATTTTACAGCATCTCACTAATGCAGCAGTTTTCAGTTATGCCCATTCTTCATTTATTCAGACTTCCTGGAATAAATATATTCCCCACTTACTATAAGCTAAGGGCAAAAATATTTTAAGGTAAGTAATGTGTGTACTGGATATGCATTATTTAGGCCTGGCTGTATTGATAGTGTAAATATGTTATGTGCATTTGAAAGTGAGAAAAAGTCATGTTTCACTTTACAGCGATTTTCATGTTACAGCATTAGCCCGGAACCTAACCTGCCGAATAAGCAGGGCCTTCCTGTATCAGTAATCTCTCGTTTTTAAGCTGTTCAGTAACCCTTTTCCTTCTGTATATTCTTGTGTGTTCTCTTCCTATATTTGGTCTTTTAGGTTTTCTTAATGGTACATATTTTGTGTGTATTTGAATCAACTTTTCCATTCACTAGTGTGAGTTTAGGGTACCCATAACTGTTTCCAAGGGTATGTCTTATAGTTCTTTATGCATTTTGTCTCAGTCAGTTCTCTGATTGTTGAAGCTAAATTTACTGAACATCCATTGCTGTTCACTATTTCTCAAGTTTTTCCATTCTTGCTTGTAAACATGTTTGTACTTCTTTTAGATTATGATCAGAATGTAGCATATTTGTGATTATATCTCTGATTATTCCCTCATTGTGTATTTTCATTCATTGTGGATTATGTTATACAGTGGAACCTCGGTTTTCGTTTGCCCTGGTTTTTGTTGAATTCAGTTTTCAGCGACTTTTTTCATTAGAATTTTGTCCCAGTTGTCGTTCATCACCTTGGTTTCGTCAGTCTGCCGTACTGAATGTGTCTGCCTGCCCGCACCCACACAAAGCATCCCAGGTGTTCTGAGTCAGTTTGGCTTTGTTTTTTGTTCTTGTTTATTGAGTGCAACTGCTAGATAAGCCACCATGGGGCCAAAGAAAGTTCCTTTGATAAAGAAGGCGAGAAACATGATAGAATTCAAGAAAGAACTTGTAGCAAAGTACAGGGTTGGATGTGAGTGGCCAGGATGTGGAAGAGTTGGTGGACGACCACAGGGAAGAGCTAACCACTGAAGAGCTGCAATACCTTCAACTGGAACAGCAACACATTGCAGCTGAGGAAATTGCTTCAGAGGAGGAGGAAGAGAGAGGGAAGAATGTGCCTTCTTCGGTGATTAAGGACATGTGTGCAAAATGGAGTGAGTTGCACAGTTTTGTGGAGAAATATCACCCTAAAAAAGCTGTTGCAAGCCATGTCTGCAACATGTCCGAAGACAATGCCTTGTTCCATTTTAGGCAAATCTTAAAAAGAGACGCCAGAAACAGACCTCTCAGGACAGATTTTTTGTGCGACAGGGGTCCAGTGCCAGTAAAAGGCAAAGAAGGGAAGTAACCCCGGATAGGGACTTGATAGCTGAAATCCTTATGGAGGGGGATTCCCCTTCCATCCAATAACCTATCCTCCTCCCTCTCCCCTCCTTGCTGTTTTCCATATGCCAACAAGAGTCTTCACTAAAGGTGAAAGTGATATTATATGTTCATTTATCCATTTTATTAGTCCTTTATATTTATTTCTCATTGTTTTCTGTATGTAAAGCTCTAGTTATTCTCTATAAAATGTATTTTTTGTTAATACTTTTGGGTGTCTGGAATGGATTAATTGGATTTACATTATTTCTTATGGGAAATATTGTTTCAGTTTTTGTCGAATTCTGTTTTTGTCAGACTCTGGAATGAATTAATGATGAAAACCGAGGTTCAACTGTATATTGGTTCAAAGCAAACCTTTCACAGACCCTTACTAGCTGTCTGGTATACATCTGTGAGGTAATGTGCTTCCAGGCATTATTTTTAGTACAACACCATTTTCCATTTCACATCTTGGAAGTTGAAATCTTTGAAGAGGATAATATTTGGTGTAGCAATCCTTAGCCATTGCTAACAGTGGTTTATTTATAAGAACAATTACTAGATTCTTTTTCTCCAGTTTAATGTGAGGAATTCAACGGTTTTGTACGGTAAAATGTCCTTCGTGTAATCCTATTGGTCTCGGTGACCTATTTACTGTCACATTTATAATTATTATAATTTTTCACTCATACACTGCTTATATAGTTAACTTTGTCATTTTTATTTGTTTGTAGACCTGTAATGTTGGCAGAAAGGGGGATTTTTCCATTTGGGATGCTTGGGTTTAGCATCACTGGTATTGGTTCTTGGTGTGCATATACTGTATCAGATGTGTTACCATGTATGTGTCTGATTCCATTACCATGCCTCTCTTTATTTTGTTTTTTTCTCATTGTGGTTTTGTTTTTTCCTTAGATGGTTTCTCTTTTCCCATAAAAACAATTGTTTTATTAACATGCCTTTAACTTCTTGATATGTAGCTGTTGCATTACTTTACAACATTGTAAATTTATGAATGTAAGCATTCATGCAGAGCTGAACCTCTTCTCTGATCTTTACAATACTACATACTGCAAACCATGCCAAAACTATCTTCAATAACACCAAAAATATCTCAGTATTTAACTACAATGCCAGATCCTTAAGTAAACATGCTACTGTGGGTTGGGTCGGTCAGCTGCCCTGAGGATATTGCTGTACTCTTAGGGTTATTCAAGACAAATCCAACTTTTATTCTTGTCACTGAAACCTGGCTCAACCATAGCACTACAGAAATCTATAACTTACCAAGGTACAGTCATACACAACTGCAGATCTGATCGAAGGGGCAGAGAAACAGCAGTCTACTACTATACTGATGAAATGTATTCATTCATTCTACACCAGAGATGAGCTTGAAGAATAGTTACATAATTCACAACCAAGAGTTTGATGATCCCTCTTACAGTAGGAACTATCTACAGATCACCACATACCAACAAAACCAACTTTGGAGAAAACCTCAAGGACCTAATCATAAACAAAAAAATAAATAAATGTCACTTAATAATTGCTGGGGAGTTTAAAATTGACCTCATTCAACCAGAAGATTCCCAAGTAGCAAGACTTCCTGAATAATATGTACAACTGCTTACTAATACCCTTGATAACTAAGCCTACTAAAGTAACTGAGACTGCTGCAACATCATCTGACCACACATGGACAAATATTGCAGCTCCTCAAACAGTAGGCATTATCACAGACAATACTGCTGATCACTACCCCACCTTCCAGTTTAATATCTGTAATATGCACCCCATACCCAGTCACCAATTTATCAGAATTACCCCATGAAACATGTAAAATCTTCTTCAGGCTCCATGATGAGGCATCAGTGAATAACTTTATAGTGGCATTCAACATTATTGACTGGCACAGAGAATTGCACAGTGACCATTAACTTGAGTGTTCACATATTCCTGCACACACAATACAAAGCTCCTACAATAGGCATTGCCCATTAAAAACCAAACAGGTGATATCAAAGAAAATAAATAGCCCATGGCTAACCAGTGACATCCTCAAGTCCATTGATAAAACACACATTAATCCAAACGTAGGTTAGGAATAATATGTTTTTTTATCAAAGAACTATCCAAAGATATACTGTTACACTCACAAAGCTTATCAAAAAATCTAAACAAATGTATTATACCAACAGGTTCATTCTTATTAATAACAGAGGTATACTCAAATATTGGGCACAAGTTTCCCAAATTCAAATAAATAGTTCTAATTAAACCTAATGAACCTGCCCTCCAAGCCTTAAAGACAGCAAATAAATTAAATCACTTCTGTTTTGGTTGTCTGGAATAAATCCATCCTATCCAGATCTGTGTGTTTCTTGTTTCGCCTTTGCACTTTAGGTATGTATTTTGTGTTCCTGTCTTAGTTTCCTCCTACCTTTTATAAATATCCTTGTAAATTCTGGTTGTTAATTTTTCTTCTTGTATATTGTCTTGTTAAGTTTGCCCAGAGATTGTTTCTCTCTCGTCGAACCAGATACATTTACCATCCTTGATTTGCTTGTTAGTTCTAGTATTTACCCCTGCACAGACCATATGGAACTTTTCCTGGCATATCCCACAAATTCTTCTTGTGGTATGTAAAAAGTCTCCTTGCAACTACAGAATTTGTTCATGGACATTCTGACAGCTGTTTAAGATTTATGTATTTTGTAAATTAAAAGGACACAAGTGCAACTAATGTGACATTTTTATTGTGGCAACGTTTCGCTCTCCAGGAGCTTTGTCAAACCGTTAAAAACAGTACATGGACACAGAGAGTATATATAGGCTGAGTGAGGTGCAATACTAGTGGTAGCAGTAGTAGTAGTAATACAATATGTTAGAACAATTAATTCGCACATGAGTAAAAGGTTATAAAAGCTGTAACTTGGGTAACCTAAGAATAAGTTAGACAAATATTTGAGGCTGGATAGAGAAGGCCTGTTTCAGTGTTCATTCTCTGTAATGTGATGGCAGGGTTTACTGTTTTCAGGAGGATTCTTGCTAAGACTTCAGAGATGGTGAAGCTGCCTTTGTTTTGTTTAATTGTATTAGAAACGGCTATTAGTGAAGATTCAAGGCACTTGCGTCTGCGGAAATTAGTTTCTTTGATCACTAATTGGGCGTCCCTGAATTTCACGAGAAGATTGGTGGAATTTCGGTGTTGTGCACAGGCATTGTTTAAGTTATTGTTCCTACATGCATAAATGTGTTCATTGAGGTGGGTGTCGAAGTTTCTTGCTGTTTCACCTACATAGATCTTGTCGCAGCCTCCACAGGGTATAGTGTAAACCCCTGTGTTGACTGGTTCGTGGTGCTTGGATTTTGTTCTGGTTAGATCCTTTACTGAAGTGCTAGAAGTGATGGTGACTCTGGTGTTAGCTTGTGAAAGTGCTTTAGAAACATTCAGTGCAACCTGGCTGCTAGGAAGAATTATAACTTTGTTGGGAGTGGTGTTGGTGCGTGGAGAATTAATGATCTGAAGACCTATTTTCTTGCAATCTTTGATGAAAAAGGAAGGAAAATGTAAATCAGTGAAGGTTTGGTGAATGTATGCACATTCCTTGTCAAGAAACTCAGGACTACAAGTTCGGTATGCTCTCAGGAAAAATCCGATGATGATGCCTCTTTTGGTCTTAGTATCTTGACTGGAATAGAAGTGTGTGAGATGATTTTTATTTGTAGGTTTCCGATAAACTTGAAATCTTAGGTTGTTGTCTACTTTGTGAATGAGGATGTCTAGGAAAGGTAGCTTGTGTCTAATTTATGAACGTGCCGGTTCTCTGAACCATTCATCTACAATCCTGTCAGACACTGCAACTTCTTGGGATCTTAATACAGTGTACTTGGGACTTTCACAAGCTAACACCAGAGTCGCCATCACTTCCAGCACTTCAATAAAGGATCTAATCAGAACAAAATCCAAGCACCATGAACCAGTCAACGCAGGGGTTTACACTATACCCTATGGAGGCTGCGACAAGATCTATGTAGGTGAAACAGCAAGAAACCTCGACACCCGCCTCAATGAACACATTTACGCATGTAGGTACGATGACTTGAACAACGCCTGTGTACAACACCGAAATTCTACAAGTCATCTCATGAAATTCAGGGACGCCCAATTAGTGATCAAAGAAACTAATTTCCGCAGACGCAAGTGCCTTGAATCTTCACTAATAGCTGTTTCTAATACAATTAAACAAAACAAAGGCAGCTTCACCATCTCTGAAGTCTTAGCATGAATCCTCCTGAAAACAGTAAACCCTGCCATCACATAGTCTCTCCTGTTAATACTACACAAAGCACATTACAGAGAATGAACATTGAAACAGGCCTTCTCTATCCAGCCTCAAATATTTGTCTAACCTATTCTTAGGTTACCCAAGTTATAGCTTTTATATCCTTTTACTCATGTGCGAGTTAATTGTTCTTACTTATTGTATTACTATTACTAGTACAACTTATATCACTACTACTACTGCTACCACTAGTATTGCATCTCACTCTGAGCCTATATATACCCTCTGTGTCCATGTACTGTTTGTAATGGCTTGACAAAGCTCCTGGAGAACGAAACATTGCCACAATAAAAATGTCACACTAGTTGCACTTGTGTCCTTTTTTTACATATTGTCGGTAATTCTACCAACTTTATGTATTTTATAAGTCAAATTTAACTGACAACCTTGGTGTTATATCATACAGTTAAAAGCTCTCTTGCCACAAATTGGACTTTCCAGTGGTTTCTGGCACCTCTTGCTCCCTATTTAGATTTATGCTTGATATTTTATCAGTTTAGGCTTGATGTATCTTATAAAATAATTTTAACTAAATACAGTGGACCCCCGGTTAACGATATTTTTTCACTCCAGAAGTATGTTCAGGTGCCAGTACTGACAGAATTTGTTCCCATAAGAAATATTGTGAAGTAGATTAGTCCATTTCAGACCCCCAAACATACACGTACAAATGCACTTACATAAATACACTTACATAATTGGTCGCATTCGGAGGTAATCGTTATGCGGGGGTCCACTGTACTATTACCTGCTAGATTTTGACTTACCCTGATAAAGACTCCTGGCAGTCCTGCAGTAATGATATCATGATGGGGGATATGGACATTAAGGATGTTGATGACAGCTACTTTCTCTTCCCCCTTTATCTGGGAACTATTTGACAGCTGTTTATACTTGATGTTGAGGCACTAGAGACCTCTGGCCATTCAGCAGCACTAAATTACAAATAATTCATTTCTTTTCTGCAATACAGGTAATGTAGTTTACATGTAATAAAATATTGCTAGGCACAAAAGAAGGCCACTAACATGCGGTACATTTTGGGCACTGACAGCATGGTGGTTGGACAACTTGAGTGGTAGGGGTGGTCAGGTTTACACGGAGAGTGTCTGGGGGGTCAATACCTCTGCAGCCCAGTCTTTGACGAGGCAGTGAGGACATTGGAAGACAGCTATGTGCACTCTTTTAGTAATGTCCATTTAATATTTATATATTATATTCAATTTTTATTTTTCAGGTTGTGTAGTGTACCACTGGGATGCAAAAGAACAGAAACTAATTAATCGCTTAGATTGTTCCAAGTTGGTACCTTGCTCAGAAAGCTTGCAGTCTATTAGTATTGAAGAACACTTGTCTCCCTCTCATTGCCAAGTAAGTGTAATGTTTCTGTTTGTGTTATTATGATAAATTTGGGTAATATTATAATGCACTGTATATTCATTTTTCTACTGTAGGGCTAGTGTTACAAGTATGATTTTTGGGGGTAGGCTCTAAGCTAGGCTCAGTAATGGCTTTAAAACCTTTCCTCTACTTCCACTTACCAAAAAGATAATTAAGGAAATTTTGAAATTAGGATGATTGAATATGTGAGGGTGGGATACATTAAGTGAATGTTTAGAGAATTTTGAATAAATAAGAGAATAATTGTTGTAAGGATGCTGTATGCTACAGTGGGTGAAACTTGTAGATAGGTAACTTTATATATGTGCACACACACATAGTTTTATATTTTGCTGCAGCAGAATTTTACTGTAGCCCTGCTCTGTTCCCTTGACTGTCGCAACCCCAAATCCTGAGGTGTCTCCCGGTGTCGCAAAATTTCCGAAAAAAAAAAAATTTCTTATGAAATGACAGAGAATCTTTTCCCGATTGTAATGACACCAAAAGAACGAAATTTGATGGAAAACTGACAGAATTATGTTCTCGCGAAGTTAGCGACCGCGGCAATATTTACAAATTGGCGATTTCGCCCACTTTGAGCCCTATTTTCGGCTAATTCCATTGCTCCAGTCGACCAAACTCATAGCTATTTCTTTAGAACTCCATTTTTTCTATCGATTGAGTACAAGAAACTGCCCATTTACTGATTTAAACTACCCAATGACGTGGTCAGAAATTTGCAATTTGGCCAATTTCACAAAAATTAAAAAAATCTGACAATTTCAAAATAGGGTCCAGAATGAACAATGCAGACATTCTTGGCTCTTAAATAACATTTTCTTTGTTCATCAGTCACATCTCCAGGCCCCCCTCTGATATTACTCTTGCTTTCTATTTCAAATTTTTATTCAAACAAATAATAGAAGATTTACTGTTGTGCAGACTACTGCAATATTGTAATAATTGTATAAATGTCAACCCATTCATGACTGCATATTAGAATGGCTACTTGGACATTTATTGGAAGATGACATCATTTGTTTACTTTTGAACATCAGGAAAAATCTAACATTTCCCCTACTTTGAGCTCCATTTCAAGGTTCTTTTCATAGTAAACCAATCAAAGTCACCTCTATTTCTATAATATGTTTTCCATTCTATCAAAGGAGACCAAGAAAACGAGAATACAACCATAAATACCATATGAAAATAGACCACAAAGTCGGCATTTTAATTAAAAAACAGTCGGAGTTTTTTTTTTCTCATTATGCACTGCGTGCTGCAGGATATTTTTTATATGGTGCATGCTGACCACACAGACCCATTCACTCACATGTGGGCCTACCAACTTTCTCCTGCTTGATTTGAAGCCGCTAGAATTAATGAGTATATATACGTGAAACACGGTGGCTCATAAGACGTATATATACGACCAAAACAGTCGAAGGGTTAAGATGCAGTAAGGTAGAAGCTGATGGAAATACTGGGACACCTTTCTTGGATCAGGGTATTACTAAATTTAAAAAGAAAAACTTTGGTTTTTCTGTTTAGGTCACCCTGCCTCAGTGGGATACAGCCTGTATGTTAAAAAAAAAAAAAAAAAAAAGAGGGAATATGCTACATGGGAAGGTGGAGGTACTGGAAAGATGGAGAGGATATTTTAATGAGTTGTTGAATGTTACTGATGAAGGAGAGGCAGTGATTTCATGAAATAAACAGGGAAGAAAAATGTATAGGAATGAGGAGCAGCCTGAGGTAGATATGGGGAAAGTGTGAGAGGCAATGGGTAGATTGAAAGGGGTTAAAGCAGAATGTGACTGAGTCATTTAAAACCAGGTAGGAATATAGTATGTATTGGAACAGTTGTTGTATTTCAGTATATGCATGAAAGAAGGGAATGTACCTAGGATTGGTTGAGAGCATGCATAGTTTCCCTGTATAAGGAAAAAGGAGATAAGAGAGAACTTAAGAATAATAGGGTATAGGATCATTAACCCTTTCAGGGTCCAAGGCCCAAATCTGGAGTCACGCACCAGTGTCCAAGAATTTAAAAAAAAAAAAAAATTTTATTTTTTGTTATGAAATCGTAGAGAATCTTTTTGTGAAGGTAATAAAACAAAAAGTACGAAATTTGGTGGAAAATTGACGAAATTATGCTCTCGCAAATTTTGATGTGTCAGTGATATTTACGAATCGGCGATTTTGCCGACTTTGACTCCCATTTTAGGCCAATTACATTATTCCAATCAACCAAATTCTTAGCTATTTCACTAGTATTACTTCTATTCTATCGATTGAGCACAAGAAATCGCCAAGTCAACTGTTTCAACTACAAAATAAAGTGATCGGAAATTGTTAATTTGGCCAATTTAACACAAAGTTCAAAATATTCCAATTTCAAAATAGGCTCCAGAATGAACAATGTAGGCATTCCTGGCACTAAACTAACATTTCCTCTGTTCATTAGTTATGTTTTGAGGCTTTACAAATAAATTCCATTTTGATTTTTTATTCACATAATGAATTTTTATTCACACCAAAAAATAGAAGATTTACTGTTATGCAATACTGTAATAATTGTATAAATATCATCACCATATTTGTGAATGTATATTAGACCCACCAGCTGACGTGTATTAGACGTGTGAGGTCATTTGTTTACTCTTGAATATCGGCAAAAATTTAACATTTCCGCTACTTTGAGCTCAGTTTCAAGCCATTTCCAGTGCTAAAACCAATCAAAATCATCTCTATTTCTGTAATATGTCTTCCATTCTATCAAATGAGACCAAGAAATCGCAAATACAACTATAAAAAACATACGAAAAAACACTGCAAAGTTGCTGTTTTAATCGAAAAATCATGATTTCATTTTTTTTCTCTCATTATACACAGTGTGCTGCAGGATCTGTTTTATGTGGTGCACACATACCACATAGATGTATTCTCTCATATCTAGGCCCAAATGTACCACTCACAGTTTATGAGAGTGAGCTGAGCTCATGGCGTAGATCTACGGTTTGGACCCTGAACGTAAAGCCGTAGATCTACGGGACGGACCCTGAAAGGGTTAAGTAAATTAGGGTAAGACAAAAAGTAGAATTGCAGAAGAACAGGGTGGATAAGGGATTTGTAGACTAAATGTTTACAGTGAAGCATATAAGTGAGCATTACTTGATAAGTCCAAGTAAAGAGCTGTTGCAATTATGCGTTTAGATATAGCATATGATAGAGCGGATAGGGGAGCAATGTGACTTTGTGGTCTATTTTCGTATAGTATACAGTGGACCCCCGGTTAACGATATTTTTTCCACTCCATAAGTATGTTCAGGTGCCAGTACTGACCGAATTTATTCCCATAAGGAATATTGTGAAGTAGATTAGTCCATTTCAGACCCCCAAACATACACGTACAAACGCACTTACATAAATACACTTACATAATTGGTCACATTCGGAGGTAATCGTTATGCGGGGGTCCACTGTATATGGTTGTAATCTCGTTTTCTTGGTATCATTTGATAGAATGGAAAACATATAGAAATAGAGGTGATTTTGATTGGTTTTACTATGAAAAGAATCTTGAAAAGGAACTCAAAGTAGGGGAAATGTTTGATTTTTTGCCATGTTCAAAAGTAAACAAATGATGTCATTTTCCAATAAATGTCCAAAGAGCCATTCTAATATGCAGTCATGAATGGGTTGGCATTATTTATACAATTATTACAATATTGCAGTAGTCTGCATAACAGTAAATCTTCTATTTTCTGTTTGAATAAAAATTCAAAATAGAAAGCAAGAGTAATATCAGAGGGGCCTAGAGACGTGACTGATGAACAAAGAAAATGTTACTTTAGAGTCAAGAATGTCTGCATTGTTCATTCTGGACCCTATTTTGAAATTGTCATATTTTTTAATTTTTGTGAAATTGGCCAAATTGCAAATTTCTGACCATGTTATTGGGTAGTTGAAATCAGTAAATGGGCAGTTTCTTGTACTCAATCAATAGAAAAAATGGAGTTCTAAAGAAATAGCTATGAGTTTAGTCGACTGGTACAATGGAATTAGCCGAAAATAGGGCTCAAAGGGGCCAAAATCGCCGCTTCATAAATATTGTCGCGGTCATTAACTTTGCGAAAGTGTAATTCCGTCAGTTTTCCATCAAATTTTGTTCTTTTGGTGTCATTACAATGGGAAAAGGATTCTCTATCATTTCACGAGAATTTTTTTTTTTTTTTTTTTTTTTTTTTTCGGAAATTTTGTGACAACAGGAGACACCTCAGGATTTGGGGTTGGGACAGTCAAAGGGTTAATTGATGTGCTGTTGGAGAGTGAGCAAGGTAACATGCAGGGATTCAATACAACCAGTTAACTGGACTTGAGTCCTGGAGATAGAAAGGGCAGTGTCTGGATTCTGGAGGGACGGGGATGTTAGTCAAAGGGTCATCTGAATTGTGATGTCGACACACTTCTGGTAAGACAGTAATTGAATGAATTCTTATTTTTTTTTAATGGGGGGGGGGGAAAGGGGTCACCCTGCCTTCATGGAAGACAATCATTAAAGTAAATAAATAATAAGAGCCAGAGTCTGTTCAGAATTCAAACTGCAGACATGTCAGGGGCCTTTATGAATGGTGCCTCGTGTACCTTTAGAGCTTATATTGGTGCATGAATCTGAAGGATAAATTAACATGGAAATCGCCTTCCTGAAACATGCTATGAATTATGGTTAGTTGCTCTTTTCATTTAGCCATACCTGATTTCCCTTAGATTTCCTTGGATATACATTTTGAGCTTTGGAGTTGTTTCTTCACATAGATAACACATCAACATGTATAAAATCAGTGATAATCTTTATTATTTGCTCCCAATTTTTTTTTATAGTTGTCAACTGTTAGGCTATAAGGTTTACAATGATGCTCTGGGCATCCAGCATTACATGAGCTGGACTTCAGACATTCAAGTTGTGGCTCATACCAGTATAAATAAGATTAAATAAAATGCCTGTACAGTAGTTTATTGATTCACAGACTATGCTTGATAGATCTAATACTGTTAGAGCTTGACATGATCAAGTTGCAAGTATAGTTTCTGCACTAAATTACACATGATTGCTTGATATATTCAGTTAGTCTAATAAGAAACAAAGACTTGGACGTAGTATTCCAGTTGAAGAGACCTTGTGATATTGGTAATGCTTGTTTTACTATCTTGTAGCTAAATTAGAAAAGGAAATAAAACAGGTATTTGCAACTGTAGACGTACTAAAGATCAAAGAAATTTAAGGCAGTGACAGCCTACAATATTAAAAAAAAAAATTGAAGGATGGAATAATTTTTATTAAACTTTTAAGTTCATGAGATTCACCCTTCAGATAGTGCCTATTCATGTTCTTTTGCATCCATACATTATAAGTTTTTCAATTAATCTCCTTAAAGGAGGTTCCTAATACCAGTGAAAGGCTCTCGATTCAAGGAATTAAACATATCCTTTCCTTCCTTGAATCAGTCCTGACTACCTAGCATTCTCCTAGGCATTGTATGGCCACTACTGGTTGAATGCAGTATAGTAATATATGAAATGATAATCAAAAGTAATGAGGTTTTATATTACAGGTATCAGCAGTGGCAGTATGTGGTAGTGAGGTCTATGTTGGCACTACATGGGGATGTGTTGTTGTAGCAGAAGCAGAGTCAATGCGCCCAATTACAGTGTTTAGACCATATGAAGACGAAGTGCGTGCTATAGTTCCTCTTCCTCCCTCGTCAGTTGTCTTAGATCAAGATGGGAATCTTGAGGATCCATCAGATCCTACTGATGTGGAAAATGAAAGAAGATTCACTCCAACTCCATTATTGGCAACCATTGGAAAAGGCTACCGTAATCTATTAGGACGCTATGCACCGATGCCTCGTTCAGCACAGCCCGAGCCAGCAGCTCAGAGGGCTATGTATTGTTTACTGTGGAGAGCTCATCATTGGCTCAATACATGAAGAGCCACAGCATTGTGCTTAGCAACATATTTGATAACAGAAATGTCAATAAATAATGGCCTTTTGTGCAGTCTCTGTGAGACATATATATTGCAACTAATAGATGAAGTCTTGTGCATTTTTGAGCTCAAATTGACATTTACCAATTTTTTTTTTTTTAGGTTGTATTAATAACAGTTAAATATTTGCTCAGGCTACTCAAAGAAACTGATGAAGAAAGATACAGCTAAATTTGGGGATGATTGTATATATACAGTCAAGCCATAGTTATACGATGTTGGAGGATCAAAGCTAGTTTTTTTGTTAAAATTAAATATTTTTATCAAAATTATATATTTATTTATAATTATTAAAACTTTGAAATTCAGTGGACAAAACAAAAGCTTGAGGTAACAATGTTTACAGTTCATATTTATATCAAGTCCAGGAAAGTTTGGAATGATTAAAATATTTTTTAAACTAATGAATTAATTTTGAAAAGGTATGAACCTCCAATATATTGCTAGATGTGATTTATTTTCACAAGAACCTTTTTGTTATAAATCATACAAGAAATTGCCTTAAATATTACTTAATGTTAGGTGGCAGATGTAAAGGTGTTTTTAATGTGTTAACAGATGAATTTTCTAGTTATATATAACAGTATCTGCATTACTGCAGGCACTGGTAGTACTTCCACCTTATTTTTATGAATTAATTTCATCTTGGTGACATTAGTTCAAGGGAAATACTGTACATTGATGGTTTGACAAAATGTCACTACATCTAATTTTATAGTTGATATTTTTACCAAAGAAGGGTATTCCAGGAAGACTTGTATATAACAGTTTTATTTAATCAGCTGTGATTTAATGCCTACTGTATTTCTATGTAAACTATAACAGCACAAGTGTACTACTTAAAAACTCACAGCGCTTTGTCAGTAATGTCTGGCCAATTCACATTTTCTTATTCTCTAGTCATTAACTCATTTAATGTGATAATCTTTTTCTTAGTGGTAACAATGTTTAATTTTCTTTGAACATGGGATCTATTTTTATTATGGTTATCTTTATTCATGAATTATAATTCAGCTGGAGAGACTTTATTGTACAAGAATTTTTGTTGGGATAAACTTCATACAACAGATGTTGTCCATCCACACGATTTATTGGATTGAAATACATTTTCAGTACCAAAATAATAAGAAAACAGTAGTTTGATTCAATCCTACTTTCCAGTATAGTTTTAAACCCTTTCAGTGACTGTCACTTAGGCCAGGGTCCCTCACGTAGTTCTACATTGTGATCTGAGCTCGCTCAGATAAGCTGTGAGCAGTAACCCCTCAAGGGAGGTTCCTTGACGTTGGCGAGGGGCTCTTGATCTAGGGAAAAATTTTTGGATCTTTTAAAAGTGCTCCGTTCCCCGAATTAACCTGAATCCTTCCCCCCCCCCCAGGGGCTGTATAATCCTACGGTTTAGCGCTCCCCATATAATTAATAAAAAGGTGTGGCCCAAATAATATTTGCCCCTTGATAATTGGAGAAATGGTCGGTTTTTCCAAAGGAAATGGGGGTTACAATTTAAAATTAAAATTTTAATCAAAAAGAAGCGCTAAGCCACAAGGGCTATACAGCGTATACATTAAAAAGAAAAAAAAAAAAAAAAAAAAAAAAAAAAAATCCTGCTCCATGCGATGTATGAGGGGAAAATCAAAACTCGGACCATGCATATGGTTTAAAAGTAGCGATTTTGAAGAGTTTTCTCGGATGGTCTTTATTATTTTATAGAATGGAAAACATATTATTGAAATAGAGATGATTTTGGTTTCAGGACCAGAAGTAGCCGAAATACAAGATTTTTTTTTTTCCAGAATTCTCTAAACTCCCCAGTCTGTATTATGGATTTTTAATAGGTCTGGTTCAGTTACTGAGACACTGTAAACCATGACTAACCATTTCTAGTTAATTTTATTATCAAAGAAATAGAGTATTCTTTTTTGGTGATTAAGAATTCAATGTGTGGTGTGAATATAATGCAGAGAATTCGTAGTTTGGAAGTTAGGAGGAGGTGCGGGATTACCAAAACTGTTGTACAGAGGGCTGAGGAAGGGTTGTTGAGGTGGTTCGGACATGCAGAGAGAATGGAGCGAAACAGAGGGACTTCAAGAGTGCATCAGTCTGTAGTGGAAGGAAGGTGGGGGTAGGGGTCGGCCTAGGAAAGGATGGAGGGAGGGGGTAAAGGAGGTTTTGTGTGTGAGGGGCTTTGGGCTTTCCACAGGCATGCGTGAGCGTGTTTGATAGGAGGGCAAATGGTTTTAATACTTGAAAGTGCTGTTGGAGTGTGAGCAAAGTAACATTTATGAAGGGGTTCAGGGAAACCGGCAGGCCGGACTTGAGTCCTGGAGATGGGAAGTACAGTGCCTGCACTCTGAAGGAGGGGTGTTAATGTTGCAGTTTAAAAACTGTAGTGTAAAGCACCCTTCTGGCAAGAGAGTGATGGAGTGAATGATGGTGAAAGTTTTTCTTTTTCGGGCCACCCTGCCTTGGTGGGAATCGGCCAGTGAGATAATAAATAAATAATAAGAATTCAAAATGGAAGGCAAGTGTAATATAGGAGAGGCCTTGGGACATAATTAATGAACAGAGGAAATGTTTTAGTGCCAGGAATGTCTATGGTGTTTATTTTGAACTATTTTTTTAATTGGTATTTTTTTAATTTTGTGTAAAGTTGGGCAAATTACCATTTTCTGTGCACTTTAAAGGATAGTTGATACAAATGAAATAGTTAAAGAGTTTGGCTGAAAGTGGGCAAAGTTGCCAATGCATACGTTTTCCATTAAATTTCGTACTTTTGGTGTAATTACTTTAAAAAAAATCTGTAATGGTAGAGAATCTTTCTAAAAGTCAACATAAAGCAATATTAACTCTCTCAATGTCCAGATCCCCAAAATGACACTTGCTCTCAATGTCCAAAAAATTTTCCTACCCAAAAATGATTTTTTCTTCTGAAATGGTAGATTATTTTTTTTAGAAGGCAATGACATTAAAATTATTATTATAATCAAAAAGAAGCACTAAGCCACAAGGGCTATACAGCAATGACATTAAAAGTACAAAATTTGATGGAAAATTCACAGTATTACACACGCGCAAAGTTAGCAGTCTTGGTACGATTTACGTACTGGCAATTCCACCCACTTTGAGCCCTATTTAAGGCCAAGTCCATTGTCCTGCTCATACAAATTCTTAGCTATTTCACTAGTATGCCTTCCATTCTATCGAGTGAGCACAAGAACCTGCCCATTCAACCTATTTCAACTATATATACTATAAAGTGATCAGAATTCAGTAATTGAGCCAGTTTCACACAATATTAAGATACCAATTTAATAGAGTCCATAATAAACATTGTAGCTATTCCTGAAATACAGGCCTCTCCTATATTACACTTGCCTTCCATTTTGAATTCTTATTAACACAAAAATAGAAGATTTACTCTATTTCTCTTAATAAAATATAACCAGGAAAGACTTCATGGTTTACGGTGTTCCAATAATTGAAGCAAACCTATTAAAAACCCCTATGAAACAGACTGGGAGTTATAGGAGGGCCTTACTCATCCTCTCAAATACAAATACAGTATCTAACATTTTTGCTTTTTTGAGCTCAAATGTAAGCTATTTCCAGTCCTGAAACAAAATCATCTCTATGTCAGTAATATTTTTCATTCTATCAAATACCAAGAAAACCACAAAAACCATCCTAGAAAACACTGCAGAGTCATCATTTTAAACCATACACACTGTCACAGTTTTGTTTTTCCCATCATACACAGCATGGGCCAGAATTTCTTTTATATGATGCACACTCACCACACAAACAAATTCTCTTATATCTAGATCAAAATTTATCAATCACAGCTTATCTGAGTGAACTGAACTCATGAAGAAGTGGACCCCCGCATAGCGACCTTAATCCGTGCAAGAGGGCTGGCTGTTATGCGAAATGTTCGGTATGCGAATGAATTTTCCCCATAAGAAATAATGGAAATCAAATTAATCCGTGCAAGACACCCAAAAGTATGAAAAAAAAAATTTTACCACATGAAATATACATTTTCCTACACACAAAGAGAAGGATACATGCACAATAGTAGAGTAGTACATGCACAATATATATTGTGCATGTACTACTCTACTAAATGAAGAATAAATGACACTTACCTTTATTGAAGATGCAGCAATGACTGATGAGACACTGTGTCCTGGGAGTGCCTTTTCCTCCTGAGTACTGTAGGTCCTGTTTGGCATTTTCTTCCAGAACAGGCCTTATCACACTGTATGCCACTACGATTCTTAAATCTCTCAAACCAACCTTTGCTGGCTTTAAATTCACCAATATGAGCACTAGTTCCAGGCATTTTTCCCTGTTCACCTGGGTGTTAGTCGACTGGTGTGGGTTGCATCCTGGGAGACAAGATTAAGGACCCCAATGGAAATAAGTTAGACAGTCTTTGATGACACTGACTTTTTTGGGTTATCCTGAGTGGCAAATCCTCTGGGGTTAATTGTTTCTTGGTATTCTCAATAAGCCACACCAACAACGGTGCTACAGCAGCAGCAGCAGCTGATGGTGGTACAGCAGCAACAGACGATGCTACAGCAGCAACAGACGATGCTACAGCAGCAACAGACGATGCTACAGCAGCAGCAGACGATGCTACAGCAGCAGCAGACGATGCTACAGCAGCAGCAGACGATGCTACAGCAGCAGCAGACGATGCTACAGCAGCAACAGACAATGCTACAGCAGCAGCAGACAATGCTACAGCAGCAGCAGACGATGCTACAGCAGCAGCAGACGATGCTACAGCAGCAGCAGACGATGCTACAGCAGCAACAGACGATGCTACAGCAGCAACAGACGATGCTACAGCAGCAGCAGACGATGCTACAGCAGCAGCAGATGGTACTACAGCAGCAGCAGCAGCAGATGGTACTACAGCAGCAGCAGCTGATGGTGGTACAACAGCAGCAGCAGCTGACGGTGGTACAACAGCAGCAGCAGCTGACAGTGCAGCAGCAGCTGACGGTGGTACAACAGCAGCAGCAGCTGACAGTGCAGCAGCAGCTGACGGTGGTACAGCAGCAGCTGTACCACCAATAGTAGCAATGGTTGATTGGGGTTTATTATACAACCTGGCCAGCTCGGAGACACGCACTCCACTTTCATACTTATCAATGATCTTTTTCTTCATCTCTATAGTAATTCTCACCCTTATTGCTGTAGGGTTGGCACTAGAAGCTTTCTTGGGGCCCATGGTCACTTATTTTCCAGAAAAAATCACCAAAAACACTGTAATATGAAATGTTCCGATTGTATGCTTGGATGGTACCGCGGAGGCTGGCTGGTAAACAATGCCACCGGCGGAACATGTGAGCGTGGCTCAGGCCGCACATTGGGCGCGTCTCAGACGAAGGGCGGTGAGCGGGTTTTTGGGCGGTATGCGAGGCAAAATTTTTGCGATCAAAGCGTCCGGTATGCGGATTGTACGGTATGCGATGCGTACGGTATGCGGGGGTCCATGTATATCATAGATTCTGGCCTCAATGATATAGTTCTACGTGACAGACACAGAAAGGGTTAATTTTGGGCATTTGAACAGAGAAAGTGTTTTAACAGTTGAAGAGCACTTTGGCCATGAAGATCATTCAGCAATCTTGGAACTAAAAAAATATATACAGTACACAATTAGGAAACATTAGTAAAAGAAAGATAAAATTAGCAAACATTACCATACCAAGTTAAAATAAATAGCATCAGTTAAGAATCACTACATTATTTACGTCAAAAGACACTCCCAGGTCAAAACCGTGGGCAGACTATTGAAATGTGATTCATAGTTGCACAAATTACAATGGGAGGGGAGCAAGGGGCAAAAGCATCTGTTAGCAGGTGTTTATGGTTAAGATGCATGTGCTTAATCCTTGAGCAGCAAGAGAATCATTGAAAAGTGACAATTCCTCTTGAAGGAAGAAGGTCAAACACATCCTGCCCACCTTTGTATGGGGTGGGCAGGATGTGTCTGTAGAGCCAATTTGACCTGTACTTCCCAAGGACATGTCTGTGGATATGGTCCATGAAGTCACTAAGGCAAAATTCTTATAGAGCAAGCTCATTATAATGCCAGCTTTGCCTTGGCATCTGCTT